TTAGGATTTTGTATTTGGAATGACTCCGTTAAATAAGATTCTGCTTATTGTGTTATTTGAGAATAGATTCAGTAACAATTCTATTTCATAACAAACAAAACGTAGATGTCACGTATGCTTACTCCTATTCAATAATTATAGATACAGTAAAGCACACCACAAAGACGTTCACATTGACATGGCGGTTTAATTAAACAAGAAACACTTACGGACCTCAATCAACTAATCCCTATTAATAAATAATTACTTATCTTTCAATATTAATAGACGTATCATAGAGGAAACAGATGCGGCATCAAATATAATCCGTGGGGCGCGCGTGCCCTCACGAAAACACATTACGGACAATCTAGTGTCATTTATAAAAGAACGAGGTCACATGCCTACCCACGATATTAGAAACGAAAGCAGCCTGGATGCGACATATTTCAGACGCTTGCAAACAAACTTTATGTCTCATCCATTATAATTTATTCTAGTGTTATGTAATGTTATGCATGTGATCTGCATTTTGTTTGGGAACGGGTAAACGTAGCATCATAGTTACATAGAGACTATCTATATCATAAGCTGAATATACAGTATGTCTGTTTGTGTCTGAAGTCCAAATGTAAATACTAAGTGGGTGAATTTGAACATACATAACATCACGCCTTTTATCCCCAAAGGGGTAGGCAGAGGTGCACATTACGGCACTTAATGCCACTGTAGAATGTAACACCCCCTTTCACTATTTATGTCATGAGTCCCATGTAATAGGGGGTGAGCCTATTGCCATATACCGGGCACATTTCCAAACTCCGTGCTACTACTGAATTTTTTTTAAAAACCCAGTAATACTTTGCCCGACCCGGGAATCGAACCCGAGACCTCTTGACCAGCAATCGCACTTGCGCCCACTCGGCCAACGAGGCAGTGGGTGAATTTGTTTTTGTAAAATTCCTAGGCCTTGCTAAAACCCTAGGGATGTGTCGTAAAAGGTGTTGCACCGTGGAAGCTCCGAGACAGGTCTCCGTGGTCACCGGGGTGGTTTTATTGAGGTAAATATTCCACAAAGTCAAAGTCAAAGTCAAAGCATTTATTTCAATTAAACCATAGTTTGGTACTTTTGAAACGTCAACAAATACAAAATAAATAATAGTCTGTCAGTCAGTCCGTCAGTGAAACTAGGTGAAGCTAGGTGCTCATTCCAAAAAGTAGATTCGAATGGAGAAGAACGAGCAAGAAACTCCATTCGTTACTCTTTTTAAAAAAAGTATGTTCTACAATGTCTCTGATACATATCACACTCCTTAGTCATTCTTTTCAAAACGCTAGGTGCCCATTTCAAGGTTTCCTCCCTCATAAATCTCTCTATCAGTGAAATGTTTTATAGGGCTGACTTTGCAGTTACAAAAATTATCAATTATATGGCGGACGCGCAAATCTTGCCAGACATTTTTGACTCACAATCCTATCAAAAATAATAGATATATAACATCAATTTATTAGGAAAACAGAGCCACATAGTTACCTAACATTATAAATGTGTGTTTTCTTTCCATTTCGTAGTGGTAGTAATGGCTGGTGCTTGAGAAAACACATCGGCTCCTGTCCGGCACAGCCCGTTTATAATGTGCAGTGAACGCCGGGCGTCGGGCGTCAGATGTTCACTTATTAAATCTATTTATTCTTCCCGATTTAGTATATAGTTCCTTGTTAGTTCTTGAAATTGTGAGGGAAATCGGTAAAGATTTTATTTTACATAACATAACATAAAATAACACCTTTTATCCCCGAAGGGGTAGGCAGAGGTGCACATTATGCCACTGTACAATGTAACGCCCACTTTTCAGTATTTATGATATGAGTCCTTGAGCCCATTGCCATATACCGGGCACAATTCCAGACTCCGTGCTACTACTAAGATTTTTTAAAAACTTAAAAATACTTTGCTCGACCCGGAAATCGAACCCGAGACCCCTTGCCCGGCAGTCGCACTTGCGACCATTTGGCCAACGAGGCAGATTTTATTTTAATGTTTAAGATAATTTACCCTACGCTTGATTTTTTCCTGCATATCCGGACTGATCTGTTACGTACAAATACTCGTTCCACAATAAATTCGTCCGTACTGTGCCAACTGTTCAGTCAAATTGTCTTGTGTTTTATGCTTTAAGGGTACCACCTACTAATAAAACCAACAACATATGTGCCACACAAAATCTAGCTCAAAAGTCACATACTACTCACACTGCATTCCCTAATTACGTAAACCACTCAAAGTATAAAACCAAATCGTGTCGTATCCGTGTCGTTAAGTTTAAAATGCACATACTACCTTAGAGAGGACAAACTAATAAAATAGGAGGACAAGACAGAGGTCAGAGGGCACACGTTATGTTCACCGGAAAAGGAAACGGGAGGTCGGAAGAGGGATGACGGAGTGCGGCCATTTTGGAAATTAACAAATAAGTTTGTAAGTTTTGTCAGTTTTATTACTAAACCTCTAATTGATGTTTCCTTTGACATTGATGTTGGAGTTTGTTTTCGATTTTGTAATTGATGAATTGTTATTTTATTATCTTAGTTTTTGTTAGTATTATTGGATATGTTATATGCTCATTGATCGTATTGCGCATAAGTGTAACTGCTTTACAAGATATTTTTTGTACGGGATAAGCCGTGAGGCAGTAACCGTGCATTTGGAAAGCCTCACTTACACGTCGAAACACAGCGCAAATATTGTTTCACGTCGGTTTTCTGTGAGGCCGTGGTATCACTCCGGTCGAGCCGGCCCACGAATTGGCCGGCTCGCAAGCATGGCTCTCCTACACTTAAACTGTTTTGTTTAATTTGAGACGTCTTACCATCATCATGTCATTGCGTCGAGTCCTTATTGGGATTGCAACTCCATAGATTGCACGTTTGGTGCGGTGACGGGGCAACCGGCTGCCGTGCAACGTGTCGCGGGTCTGGGTGTCATGTGTGTATGTGAACTTGTATGTTTGTTAACGCACCCACGACACAGGAGATAATCCTAGTGTGGGGCAACGTATAAAAAAAAGTTTTCAAGTCCTTCTAATGACTTAAACTTCAGTAAAATGAACATTATTTCAATAACAATACAGTAAAAAAAAAAATATTTAATATGCTTTTAGATTTATCATATTCCAAAATTTTAAAGCTATTTACCTAATATTAAGTGCTTAACATTATGACGTTATAACTGTTATAATAATTATATACCTTTCTTTACATAAGTTCTAAATACCACTAGAACAAAAACAACGTCATTATCAATATATAACAGTTACCCCCAACTCAGTCCACACACACAGACACGTGAAAATATCACTCTTACACACACACATGTAACTTTTCCAATTTGCCGTTCCCCGCAACCTGATCACATGGATCAGCGTCGTATCAATATCATGAATATTCATGCACAGGCATCGAACTGTGTACCAACTGCACGCCGATGTAAGCTTCGTAAATATGTGGTCAGTCGCGAAAGAATGAGCTGGGGCAGTGTGGAGTGTTTTTGAATGGTTTAATATTTTATAGAGTAGTTGAAAGGTGCTATGTGATTTTTCCATTCAGGTATTTTAATATAACCTCTTGGTACCAAAGAAACGGCGCCAGTAGCGTTTTGTTTTTTTTTTTATTCTTGGTATATATAACATAATATCACGCCTTTTATTCCCGCAGGGGTAGGCAGAGGTGCACTTTATGCCGCACTACAAAGTAACACCCACTTTTCACTATTTATGCTATGAGTCCTATGTAATAGGGGGTGAGGCTATTGCCATATAACGGGCACATTTTCAGGCTCCGTGCTGCTACTGAGATTTTTTTTAAACCTAGTAATACTTTGCCCGACCCGGGAATCGAACTTGCGAGCACTCGGCCAACGAGGCGGTATTTTAATATCGTAATAACATACTTATACCATTAACCATCACTTAGAACCCACAGGATGATATTAAAATTGTCTTATTAGAAAAACATTACCATCTGATTCGAAACGGGACGGCACATGATCTGTTGTCACTCGCTGCGTACTTGACACGCTGCATCACGTCGCTCGCATAAATCACGGAGCGTGACAGATGGTCACATTTGTTATAACACGCCCAAACCAAAGTGGAAATACGGTACCAATATCATACTGTAAACACGTTTTGTTTAATCTAAATTAAATATCAGACTGGGGGCGTTTATTTCTGAATTTGGGACATCCTTGTGATAAGGCGGTTGTAATCTTGGTGTGCAATCTGATTTCCCTGTGACTTCTATCTCGTTAAAGTATCGTGGTTTTCTTGTCTTTATATTAATTAGGCATAATATTATTATATTTGTTTGTATTAAAGTGAATGGACTTGGTGAAGGATATTTTGGAATAGGTAACTTAATTTAATGCAAATCTTGATTGTGTTATCTCAGTCTCTAACAGTCAAATTTGATTAAAAGGATTTCTGTAATATACCAGAAGAGTTGTTTTGCTTGTCAATTATCACTGATATACTTGATTTAAACTTTAGTGGGTTTTTTAGAACATAACATTTTAGCGCAGCAAAGATCACCTCTTCTTGAAACCCTTAAGGGTTAAAGTATTTTTCTTTTCATGGTTTATCGTCACCCTTATTGAATGTTCATCATCTCTACAATAGGGATGATGACAGGGTATGAAAATTAAAAATATAATTAGTCCGTAAGTTAGGTAATGAAAAAATATTAGACACGTATTTTTTTATTTTGTCGTATAATAAAACAATACTTGGATAAAACGAATCAAAGTTTAGGAGTGGGGGCTAAAACGTCATTTCTTAGTATAAAATGTACTGAGAAGTGACGTCACGCGACATTTCAAATCAATATATCTTCGAAACTATTCGTTTCTGTGAGAAAAGAAAAAATACGTGTCTAATGTTTTTAAATAATCTACCAGACGGACATTAAAATAAAAATTAGTCGTCTACCCTATTGGCGATCATAACATAAATAACAACATTATTGTTTTGTTCCAGGTAAACGGCTCGTGGGGTCTTCCAGCCTTTGTGTGCGACGTGTACATCGCGATGGACGTCACCTCCTCCACCTCCAGTATATTCAACCTCGTCGCCATATCTGTTGATAGGTTGGTACCTCATAGTATTATTTTTTTAATCATCGTTATTTTAGTCGATTTCATCTATGATATCAACAGTTCATTATATTCTACTGGTGTAGGCCTCTCCTTCATTATCCTATTCACCAAAGGAATACCATAATTTCTATACTCTAATAATGCTCTAAAAATCCAAGAGCTTCCAATTAGATATTTTCCTCTTCTTTTCAATCTGTTATGTAATCGCGGCAAGGCACATTTTTTAGAACAACGGTTTTACTAGTCAGTTCAGCTTTAAGGTTTTTATACAATTGCGATCAATTACTTTCTAAAACCTTCTTTCACCTGCAAACATCCATACTATTGATAAACACAAACAACAAAATTAAGTGAGCTCTCTACCTGTGTCCTGTTCCATCGCTCGGTGCTCTGGAATCAATTCCGCACATGTGCAGCCAATTGCTCTCTAACCGCATCGAATTGTGTCAGCTATGCTTGCTCACTGGGCTTCACTTCGATATACGAATGTGTTTCTTTCACAATGCACAATTCATATTTATATTGAACAATCTTTGTTTGGAATTTAATTGTTTTGACATGTAGGAACAAAATTATTTATAAGCTTATTTTTCTGCTGCCGGCTGAATCTTCGGCTTTAATCCTTTAGACGAAAGTAATCAAGAATGACGATCAAAATCTTCGGGCACAAAAGATTGATCATAAAGAGAAAAGAAACTATACATGTCTCAGAAACCACAACAGAAGTACAAAATTAAAGAAGACCAAACCAAATCTTTAATACACCTGCAAAAATTTTAACCTTCTTTATATCTTCCACCAGGTACATTGCAGTAACGCAGCCAATAAAATATGCGAAACACAAGAACAACAAACGAGTCTGGTTCACCATCGTCCTGGTCTGGCTGATTTCCGCAGCAATTGGTGCTCCCATAGTCCTGGGCCTCAATGACACGCCTGACAGAAACTTCGATGAGTGCCTCTTCAACAGCCAGAACTACGTCATCTACTCTTCTTTAGGCTCCTTCTACATCCCCTGCATCATGATGATGTTCCTCTATTATAATATTTTTAAGGTTAGTATCATCTTTTGTTGTGAAATTATCATGAATGCTTTACTCTTCAATTAGACTGAATTATATCATAACAAAATCAGTCGTGTCATTATTGTGACTGAGGTAACAATTTAAAACCTCGATTTTGTTATGTGAGTTTGCAGTAGTAACAGAATTAGAAAAAATAACTAGCATTTTGAAATAGTTTATACTCAAGCTTTGCTACAATCATACATTGCTAGTTTCAATTTAAATCACTCCAACAAAAACAACTTTAACAAAATCAACTCCATACAGAATGCATTTCCCTAGTCTCTTACTAAGCATTAACCACTTCATAACGAAGCAATAACAGCTCTATATCAACGTATATATGGTGGAAGATCACTTAGCATTAACAAGGTTACCATCCCAGTTTCAATTAGACCCGAAATATGTGACCTCCAAGTTGGAATTAGGTTTGATATTCGAGGCTGGTATTAAGTCCCATCTCAATTGGTTCGTCCAGACAAGCATAAATAATATATTCTGAGTGTTTAGCTCAAATTCCAAAGAGACAACCCGATGGGTTTAGGTCCTGGATTTGTCCAATAAGATTTTGGCTAAAATTGTGGTTTGAAATGAATGTGAGAAACCATTAGCTACTACTTCATTTACTAAAATTTATTAGACTAGGCGTTCAATGTACATGAAGTAAGTAGATTTTCTAAGAAATATTGTCATCCCAATAGTTGTGCAATCGATCGCTAATATGTCTCAGACATTTATAAGAATCCATAGAATGATTCCCTTCTGGTTGAATTTGTTTTAATAATTCAGTAAGTTTGCTTATTTGTAGTCTAGACGCCCACATGAAAATCAAGGATAGATATGAACTCAAGCATGATATTGATGAAACCTAAGTTTACCAACTAAATGATCTTGAAGTAATTACCAGCAAACTTCTATGTTAGCAAGACTATTCAACCAGTAAAATAAAGATAATCTCTTGATAAACGATTCCAAACACTACTGGGCAGATATCCAAAATTCAAAAAGCAACCGATGTTCTTCTAAGAGGAAAATTCAATAACATGGCACCGAAACTTAATAACTATTACTAAGCAACGAAGTTTTAAATATCCCATACCTAACCTATCGGTGTAGTAGCCAGCATGTGTTGTAGACACGTTTTGGCACAGCCTCGGTTTTGTTGTTCATGTTACAATATACATACATACTGTACAAGAGTACAGGGTGTTGTAACGGATTTTTGCAAACTGGCAAACTTTGTAGGTCGAACTCGTAACACGTGTGAGATTTTACGTCTGAATTCCCTGGAACAGGTAGAGATTTAGATTCCTTTATTATTTTTGTTTTCAACTGGAACTAGATAAACGTAAAACGTAGATAATGAATAGATTTTTGGAATGAAATCGAATTTAAATGTTCTTTTCTCTTTGGAACTACAAATAAAAAGTTGTTCAAAGTTTGTATTAGGTAGTTTACACCTACCTTCCAGGAAATTTCCAGGGAGTCAATAAAAACCTTTACTAATATCTAATTTATCCACATAGGCATTAAGAAACCGAGCAAAAAAGCAGAGAGCAGCAAAAAAGCCGCCAGTATCTGGTGACCCCAACACAGGAGCCACAACAGCGGTGGTGATAGAAAACGTGGCTCAAACTAGAAGGCTGGCAGAGACTGCACTACATGATGACAGACCAACTAATACTGGGTCTGGCAGCAATGAAGATGATCACGAAGACAGGTGAGAACCAAATTATTCAAAAATATCTACATTGTACACAGAAGTTTGGACTTTATTACAAAGACATATAAGAGTTTGTGCGATGTTTTTATTAAATTAGTTTTGTTGCTATTAATAACAGAAAAGTCTAAAGCAACTTGAACAAACTATATAATTGTAAGTCGTTTTGACGTTATTTGTTATACTACTAAACATAGGTACAGTACTAAGAAATTACTAAGAAAAGATTTAGCTTAGAAAGGGAATTTTGAGAGAATATTAAATGAATTTAGAGGCTTAAACATTGTTGTTACTAACCATTTAATAATTTGTAATTACATCATCTTTTGTGTGTAAGTAGTTATTGTAGAAATTAATATGGAAGCTCCTTCAAAATGAACATTGCTTCGCCACAGGGTTGTAGAGTTTAATATAATTATTTTCTTAAGTCGTGGAATAACCTGTAACACACGTGTGGAGGGTGGGGCGCTCTCGTTGAAGCTTCACATCTTAATTACAAAGGATCCTCTTTGTTTTGTTATTGTAATTTTGTCTTTATTTCTATCTACATACGACACTCGTGGACGTTGAACTTCAGCGCACCTGATTAAAGTTTAGCAATATACCTACATAATCTACGTTCATTATCTTAATAATATTATTTTAGTATCTTGTAATTATACGACTTTTGTTTTTCCAATAAGTAATGTACCTACTTACGAAATAATGTTCGTTTCTGTTGTGACATTGCTACCGATGTTGTTCATCTAGATAAAGAATTGACTTCAAAGATCAAAAGAATCAACAATACATTTGAAAATCGCCATCATTTCCCTACAGTATAAAGGCACCTATTGCTATCTGAAAATTGTCCGCTCAAAGTACTTGATGACAAAAAGGTATTCATAAAACGTTGATCTATTCTGTTGAAACGGTGGCTGGAAGATTTGATGAAATTTATGTCAGCTACAGAGCCAACGTACATTGCAATAAGGTTCATTTTACAATGACAGTTCCGTTTCAATTACAGCACCTTAATAATAAATTACGCTAGACTAGAATGTTCGTCGTAATTTGGAAAAACGTTTCTATTTATTTCAACGCTGATTCGAGCGGAACAGTGGGACTCAAAAGGTGCTTATTTACAAGAAATGGCGACAGACGACGAGAACAATTGTGTAATTTAAATAGTGTTTTATTGAGGACGGTGGAGGCTGTAGGAATATTACCAACCTCTGTCATAATAAATTACGAGTAGATACGCTTAAATTCTCATGATTTAGATATAAATTGATAACCTATTACATAGCATACCTACCGAGATTCTTCTATATAAATTTAAAATGTATAAAATACTTATAGTAGGTACTTTCTCTGTTACAATTTTTTTCTTTATTGATAACCATTGAGGTAACAAGATAACGACCTATCTAATGGAAAGGAGTTATCATAGCCATATGATCGTCTTAAACACCACATAAGAAGTATCATAATGTGAGGCGTGACGTTAAGTATCTAATTATGTTTTGGTGGTAATTTAAACTGTCAAACACCGCGAGGACACCGGTGACCGCAATCTATTGTTCTTTAATTGTGTCTATAATGATGGTACTCAAAGAGTTAATTAATATTTTCTATAATTTGGTCCTAAAACAGCTTTGACAAGAGGTCAGCGGATTTGGAGGCGGACGCGGACGAGTGCCACGTGATCCCGAACGACAAGTCAACCGAGTTCATGCTGGCTACTGTCACGGAGGAGACAGTCAAGTGAGTAGATTACTAAACCAAATGATGGTACTGTTGATGCGGCGGCTGGGCAATAGCCCCCGCGCGGAGCAACTGTTTGTGTGGTCCACAAATTATTGTTCCGGGTCTAAGTGTCTTGTTGATGTTACTGTGTGCCAGCGGTTAACGTAGCCGCTGGAAATATACGATGAAAGAAAACATCGTAAAGATATCTGGACTTATAATTCATATTATAAAATCACCTATCGGACTTCGGCAAGCGTGATTAATTATACACAATTCTTTTCCAGAAGAGAAGAGGTCTTACTACACTTTATGACATACCTGACATAACATCACGTCTTTTATCCTCGAAGGGGTAGGCAGAGGTGCACATTATGCCACTGTACAATGTAACACCTACTATTGACTATTTATGTCTGACATGTTAATAGAGGGTGAAGCCATTGCCATATACTAGGCACAATTCTAGGCTTCGTGCTACTATTGAGTAGTTTTTTTAAAAACCCAGTAATACCTTGTTCGACCCAGGAATCGAACCAGAGACCCCTTGCCCGACAGTCGCACCCGCAACCACTCGGCCAACGAGGCAGTTTATTACACTTTAAATAATTAATAATTTGGATTTTAATATAATTATACAGTAAACAATCCAAATCAACAATTTCCCAGGCTCAGTATTTATACAAAATATAAATTCCTTTGAAACTATAGGCCGTATTATGGCAAAGTCTAGAATTTGAATAATGGATCTTTGTCAGTTCGTTATTAATTCAGAAGTAAACACATTGGAAATAACTTGGAACACAATGATATTGATTACTTTAATTTAATTATGCAAAAAGCCTCAATGCCTTAGTAAAGTAAAGCAATTACTGCCTTGTGATGTAGACTGTAGAATCAACATACGAATAAATTATATTTTATTGTTATATTGTACGGCCTCTTTTGTCGAGGTTTTACACAGAGTTGTTTAGTGATATTACGGAATAGAAATCTTGTTTTTTCTATTTCATGGGTGATATTATCTTTTCTTCTTTCTTATATTGGATTGATTGCACATGCTAGTTAAAATTAGATGTTAATAATAATATGAATGTAATATCAAACAAAGAACTTATTATTAAGCATTTACTTGTAATCTAATTTAGGCTAGATTCGAAGTTAAAACTAAAATCTACGTAATATTAGCCTGCAAAAAACCTACATATTTAACATCACGCCTTTTATCGCCGAAAGCATAGGCAGAGGTGCACATTACGCAGTTAATGCTACTTGTACAATGTAACATCCACTTTTCACTAATTATGTTATGGGTCCAATGTAATAGGGGGCGACCTATTGCTATATACCGGGCACATTTCCAGACTTCGTGCTACTACTGAGATTTAAAAAAAACCCAATAATTCTTTGCCCGACCCAGAAATCAAATCCGAGACCCCTAGCCCGGCACTCGGCCAATGCAGCAGTCCTACAGTCCCATTAAAACCTTCGAATCACAAACGGTTCTATATTTTGACAAATACTGGAATAAAACAGAAAATACAATAACCACGATAACTGCTTTCATTTGAAATTCTTTTGAATCAGTTGAATTGTTGACGTTACTGGGGACAACAATAATGAATGGACTGCCGAGTAATTAATGGATCATCATTCTACTGATGACTGCAATCATTCAAAATGGTTGCGACACTCCACAAAATTATAGTGATTTTAATAATTTCTTTTGGCTTGTATTTAGTCTAAATGAATAACGTTTTTCGCTACAAATACACAATGATGTAGAAGAAAAACAATTATGAAATCGACTAGACTATGACAAAATAATAATTATTTGTGATTATTATTTATAATCACATAAAAAACTAGTTATTATATGTACAGACATCCATATTTTTTGTTTTCATCCAACAATTTCTCTTCCTTCTCCCAGCACACCAAAAAGAAACATCAAATCTCAAGCAACCCCAGACCCGAATGGCAACAACGACTCAGGGTATGCGCCTTCCAACCTTGAGGACACCATCAGGGAACACGTGTCACCTCCAGGGTCACCAGGCATGAAAGACGCCACGGTGCTGAAGAACATGGCATGCGATGGATCCAAGTGGAAGAAGAATGGGAAGACTTCTTCAAAGTTATCTACAGATTCAAGGTGAGAGATATCTACAGATTTGAGAATGAGTGAAATAGACAAGATTTCTGACCCCCCCCCCTCCCTTTCCCCAATCCCTGAATCCCAACAATCCTCATATTCCTAATCCCAAAAGCCGGTAACGCACTTGTAACGCCTCTGGTGTTCCAGGTGTCCATGGGCGACGCCGATTGCTTACCATTAGGTGATCCGTATGCTCGTTTACCGGATTATACCATAAAAAAAAATTGTTTCAAAAACGCGTTTTATAAAGTACCTACATATCTGTTTAAAACAAAAAATTATATCATCTACGTTACATACAACATTTGATTCATCAATGTAATCAAAACAATCTTGTCCCAGGAACGTGTCACTAGCACTCCGATCAGAAGAAGATGTCACAGCCAGCCAGTTCGACCTTCGAGACGGTTCCAGCTCCAAAAAAAAAGAAAAGCTAGCGCAGCAACTGCTCGCTTCACCATATACAAAGCAAATAAAGCCAGCAAGAAGAAAAGAGAGAAATCTTCTGCAAAGAAAGAAAGGAAGGCCACTAAGACATTGGCAATAGTTTTAGGTAAGGACCAATTTTATGACCATGTAATCCAAATCACCCTAAACATACTAGTTTTACCAAATCAAATGTTTGAGAACATGAATAAAACATAGTCATTTCTAGAGACATTTTGTGACAATCCACCTTTTAGTAAGATAAATATGTCTAGGACCAATAATGGCTTTTAACATATTCGAGAGAACTTACATTCATATCGAATTTTGATAGAACAATATCTTTAACTGTACATATGTTGGAGTTATTGACATCTCTAGAAGTACTAAGTAGACCAACTGCATCCATTATCTGTTGATTTCTGTTAAACATTCGACATCTTCTTACTAACTTCGATAATAATGACTAATACCTGTCGCTTCATTCTAGGTGTGTTCCTCTTCTGCTGGGCGCCATTCTTCACGTGTTCAGTCCTCGGTGCCATCTGCGACAAGATTGGTCTCTCCTTTGACCCTGGAGTGACGGTGTTCATCCTGACCACATGGCTGGGCTACATCAACTCGTTCCTCAACCCCGTCATCTACACCATCTTCAACCCTGAGTTCAGGAAGGCATTCAGGAAAATACTCCATTGCGGCACCTAGCCCGCAGACTATTTGGTCGTCTTCACTCAGTAGATCTCGCTTTGTTAGAAAGATTTTTGGATACAAATTATTGTTTTGGAAAGATGACAAAGAATATGTCTTTCAGTTTCAAAGCAGGTGGGCTGGAAGCTCTTATATTTTCAAATGTGACTTCGAATCTGTGTCTATCTTTAACTCACCAAAAAGCAGAAAAATTTCTTCAAACTACCTGCTTGTGAACTGCTGATCCTATGTGCCAAAGGCAACCGAAGTAACGTGTATCAAAAAATCTTCGACAAATGTTTACTCTTCTCTTACAATAAATATATTTCAGAGATCTACTGGACGACCAAATTGTACAAAGTACATTCGCATACAATGGTGTTTATACTTAATGTGATAAACCAATAAATATGTCGTGTGTTAGTCGTAGCAACATAGCATATCAAAATGTATTTAAAAAGTAATTTATAAAGTTGAAACTTATTGTAAAAATATATCGATATTGTATAGCTTGCTTACAGCTCACGATTTTCTAGTCATCAGTATTATATGCCAAAGATATTAGACGCGATATTACTAAGCTTTAGTTATTTTAAGGTTGTGATTATTTTAATTTTCAATTTTATCGTTAATCGTTTTTCTTCATAGCATAATGTACAGTCGACAAGAAATTCTTAGTATTATTAAAATAATAATTAAATCAACTGTAACTATAGCACAAAGAAGACAATGTAGTGAAATAATTAAGAAACCAAAGATTTATTTCGAACTCATTAATGTGAATATTGTGTATAATAATGCGTAAATCTTTGTTATTGTTTGAGTGAAATCGCTCGAAAAATGTTTATGTAAAAGTTAACTGTAAGTGTTAAATTTTGTTTTTGACTACTCAGAAGTTTTCTCAGCATTATTTTTCTCTTGCCTTTTTCCGTCCACGCGTTTCTCCCAATATCTCACCCTTCCTAGTTACTTACTTCTAATAGATAATATAATAAATAGATAATGTTAGCTGTACGAATGACAACGTCGATGGAAGACAATGCACTGCGAGATTTGACAAGGTAGTTTGTAAATAACTTGCCAAATAATTTATATGAAAATGTTAGTAAAATTTTACTACACAAATAGTGATGGTTGAGTTAGAAATGTTGTGAACCTTCATGAAAATGGGCGAGCGTTGATAAAACCAAAAGTACCTATGTAAGCAAGTATCAACTAGTTTCATTTTGACAGAAAGTACAGTTGCGGCAAAATTATTGTAAAAATGTGTCATGTCATTGTCATAAAAAATGTCATATGATAAACGGGCTACTAGAGTTGCTATACTAGAGTTTTTTTAATTAAGTGTATTGCAACTTCTTACTCAATTATCACTTGTTTGTACAATATTTAACTCGATATATCATATCAAAACAATGTTTTCTAGTTAATAACTAGGTGATTATTTTGTAGGATAAATATTAAAACAAATATGAATGAAATGTACGTGGCAATCAATGATCTTCCAAAACAAAGTATTAATCAAATGCTTTTACTTTTAATAATTTAATTTATAATCATGTTGTAGTTGGAAATAATATTTTAATTTAAAAAAGTACCTGGAATCCTTGAATTGAGTATCTCAGAATTTATTCACATTCCATTTTAATTTATTCAATGAATAGTATATGTGTTATTGGACTTATTGATATAATCATTTTCCCTTTTTATCCTTACAGATAATCGACTTATAAAGAAGTATCATGACTGCATATTCACATAAAACGCAGTCTTCAGAGCATATTGTCTGAATAAACATAATGTTTGCGTGATAATTTATAATAAATTAATATATCTCAATAATTAATGATTCCAATATAATAAAAGAGCCTCACTTTATTTGCACAGTAATTTAAAAAATATTCTAGCAGAATTGATGTGATCTCAATAGGAATATTGTTTGCTCAATTTATTCTGTGCTATTGAATTATTCGAATTAAATCTTCAATTATGTCGTTCGTTACTTTCAATCTGTCTGTCACAGGCGAGAAATGTAAGATTGTAATATTTGGTACAGTCATATCCAAAAGTGTGAAATCAACACATTGTTTTTTTTTTAGCCCCAAAATATTCAAAAATTTTATTTTTATTTTAAAGTACCCTAAAGTTTAAAAATCTCATGGTATTGCAATATAAAAAAGAAATCCTTTTTCGTCTTTGTTGAAAAAACATTGATACCTAAAATTACTTTGTTGTGTCTGTGTCTTCAAGTAAACCCATATTAAAATGTATGTATGTATAATAAACAAAACTTGTACGTAAGTTGAAAATTGTATTTTGTTTTCATGCCACACGTGGGGATTAGAAAGAGTATAAAGTAATTTTAAGTTGCTCAACTTAATTCTTGTGTCTTTCGGCTCAATGTAAATTTGTTTAAGCAATACCTACTCATAAATAACGAAACAATAATATTAGATGTCTGTCTATTGTAATCTATTAGTAATAAATTGTAAAATTGTACATAAAAACAACAGGGTTCCTTATAAGAATCCGTATATTTAATCGTTTTATCATATTGTTAATTAAACAATTTAAATAAATTTAATGATATTATAACAATAAGACGTTTTGTCTATAGCGTATCTGTAACATAGATAGAAGGATATTTATAAATAATAAAATGTTATCCAAAGTCGGGCTTAATAGAACGTTTTAGTACTTGCAAAGTAGACGGTATTCTATTAAACCAATATCTATTTACTTTCAACAGTTCCCTTTATTGAAAGAATCTATACTACGTTGAACTGTAAATATTGCAATAAGTATTAGTCATTTAACATTTTTTTACTTTTGTGTTGATCTGTTTTTATTCGCTGTTTTGGGTGCAGTCTATAATAAAAGTGGGAAAATAATCAATTGACTAAACAAAAATTGATTAACAAAATTCAGTAACTTAATAAAATGTTTTAAATGAAAAGATAAATCTTACCGTGATCGATTTGAAATATACCAAATCACTCGTGTTGAAAAAAATTACATTATTAATTTATAATAAAAATCAAATAAAAAATAAATGTTAAATAAATATTTAATAATTGAAAGTGCTACTTTTGTTACCGACTGTACCCAAAGCATAAGATGTGTTTAGGACGCCATGGTCCTATGACGTAGCGTTTTATCTTTCTATGCGAGAAATGTGATGATGATTTAAATATATTCTGTTTTTACATACAGTCGTTTTATTTCATAAATACTTGTTGAATAGCAGCACTATTTAATGAATAATATTGCGACCAGTTATTAGAACGCATTATCATAATTATATAAAAAAAACGAATCTCTTATTATTTAATTAAAGTGATTTATTCGTCGTCAACTGACTCCAGAGTATGTGACTGGGGCAACAAACTAAAGAAAAACTAAACTTAATAATAACTCATAAGGTCTGTGATGAATTGACTATCTGACCTATGATATACGTAAAGACGAGTTAGTCTCCGTGGTATTAAAATCATCAATTGATCCTAAAACTTTGAAATCTAATTTTGTATTAAGTCCCTCGATACCGTCTGTGATTTGTCACAGTTCAAAACGCATGTTTTTATTTGACCTACAGTGAGGTCAAAATCAAAAAATAGTCTAGTATACCTCAGAGACACAGGGGCTAGGTCACAGAGTTCTAGGCTAAGCAGAATCAATTCCAGAATAAACTAGTTTGTATTATTTTTTTACCATGCTCGTCCCACTGGAGGGCAAAAACATTACCCTCCTTCCACTCGTCTCTTCTTATAGTTTTCTGTGGACATCCTTGTCATAGGCTCAAGTTCATCCCGCCATCTCCTTCTATGAGCCTACCGCGATGTCTATTGTATGATCTACAAATTATTTATTACTAGCTTTCACCCGCGGCTTCGCTCGCGTTACAATAGGATAAAAAGTAGCCTATGTGACACATATCAATACACACCGCGCCATCTATACCAATACTTTTGTTTTCCCTCGGGAATATCAATTATTATTTAATCTAGACTTCTAACTTTACGTCTGTAAAAATTCAAAGCAATTGGTTTAGTAGTTACGGCGTCAAAGCGGAACAAACAAACAAACAAATAACTCACTCTCCGATGTATAATATTAGTAAGGATTCCCGATTAACTAATAAAGCATACCTAAACCCAAAAACATAATTACATTATCTACCAACTACATGTATTTGTACTTAACACACCGACACCAACACAGGAAACTTCCAGTTTATGCACTTTTTTAAAGTTGCTTGTTAAAACCTGTTCAGGGGTGAAAGTATTAAGTTTTCACTTCGTATGACCAGACAACATACTATATGTAAGGATTTAGTTAGTAAGTAGTTCACATGCAGTTTTGCAAAGGCATTGTTTACTAAACTTTACCTTGTTAGTTTAGTTTACGTAAGAGTATATGCGGTTAACCACGATTTCCTGTCTTGCTTTAGAAATATACAAGTCATGTGATCACGAAATAGGAAAATACATTCGCATGCAATCCTTATTCTAACTTAAACTTTCCAAGGGTATCGTAAGATTTGACTAATCGCCATGACACATATGTCAAATAACAGCTCACGCACATAGATCATCGATGAAAACAAAACAACGGATGAGGTCACAAAATCACACATCGGACATATTATGAAGATTACATACGAATTTACACGGATAGAAAATCCCAACGAACAATTTCTTGTGTCGATGGGCGACGCCGATTGCTTACCATCAGGTAATACATCTGCCGTTTACCAGATTATTCCATAAAAAAGCCGATTAATAAAAAAACAGTTTCCACCTCCTTACCCCCACCTCTTTCACTCGACCTTTGAAGTCCACCCTGCAACATAATCTAGAAACTTACAAGTTATTTCAAAGAACTTATTTTTAGGCCACATTGATCAGTCGGCCGAGCTGAACAGTTTATTAACTTTTTCAGCTTCATTTAGTGAGGTCAGTGACCTTGGAGCGTCAAGTAATCACTCTCCGGTCTATTAATCGTTAATCTAATAGATT